GAGACTGCAACTGCCTGGACAGCCAGCTCCTTATTGATCCTAAACTGTTAAGTTCTAAAGCACTTGCCCTGACACATATACTCATCAAAACAATCACGAAATTTCTGGGCCACACTACTGACAACAGTTAAATGGGTGGTATTATTTCATAAAACTTTACCATCATAAATTCAGAGTAACTGGGAAGACAATTCCAATGTTTCTTAGACTGTTGGTGGAGGGGAAAAAACCCCACCTTCCAAGGTTCCTAGGTGGTTTGGGAGGTAGGGGAAGATCGTACCAGCAACTGAAAGGCTGGTTACTACTCAGTAAAATACCTATCATATCATTTTTCCTGGGACACCTCCAGAGGGCTTTGCTTGGTGCCCTCTCTGCTTCTTTCTGAAGCAGAGACTCTGATCCTGGTTCCTGTGCTACTTCTGCTCTCTCAACCCAGCTAGATCTCATATTCTATTTCATCCTATTTCCTCTCTTTCTCCCTAGTTTGAGCAAGCTCAGTTTCACCATGCCTCTGGATTCACCCTTCTGCAAGAATGTAATAGCAGTGAGCAACAACGGATGCAGGACCAGGCAGGGAGAGGGAATGAGAGGGACAGGTACACAGTGCTTTCAGTAGCAGATCTATGCATCAGTAGTTTGCAGTTTAGAAACGAGACAGAGACTGTATCTTGGATTCAGTAGTACAATTCCCTGGTTCCCTGATTTTGTCCAATTCCTGTTCAAATCCAGTTTTCATGTGAAGCATGAAAAGCACCCTCTTCACAGCATTCTTCCAGGGAAGGAAAACCAATCTCCATTACATATTTACAATTACTCGGTTTTGCACCTTCTCCTATTCAATCATTACTTCTCACATTGACTGATTCACTGGACATCAATGAGAACTCTGTAACACTTTCTTGGATACAGTTCACACACTCCTTTCCTTACTTATCACACACTGCTCATGCTTCACACTACAACTATTTAATTGGTTATATTTTATCACTCTCTCTGCGATTAGATTAACATTTTTGCTCATACTGACTGCTGGAATCACTCAACTGGGTGAAGCTAAACCTAAGTAAAGAGATTCAAGACCACACAAGGCGTGACAGGTTCCAAAGCCTAATAGGGCTCCTGGTTATTTTATGACTCAAGGCCTGTCATTAGAACAAAAAACATCATAATCAATAATCTCAACTATTGGCAACTGATGGTCTTTCTGACCCTGGCCTACCCAACATCTTAAGTGTACAAGTTCCACAGCTTAATTATAAGGACATACTTTTTTTTGTGCAAAGTAAGTTTGTTTTAAGTCTGCTATCTGGTTAGTTAACAGCCCTAGTTCTTGTACTGTGAAGGCACATCATCATTCCCTTTCACCTGCTTCACAGCAATTATTATATACTTCTGTCACGTTCTTCCTCGTTCATCTGTTTTCCAAGCTGAAGAGTCCTGTTCTATTTAACCTCATGTCCTGAAAAGCCTTTCTGAACAGGAAAACCCACTGCTGGGCACATACGTAGAGTAAATCACTAGATAACTGAAAGAGTGAAAAGAGTTAAAGCCCATTAATTTTACTGTGAGATAAACTTACTGAGATCAATTCAGGTACAGTAAAATAGATCTGATCAAGTTTTACTGCAAATGTTAGATGGATTGTTTTTATTGGCACTCTTTTTTGCCAAGTTGATATGCTTTAATTTCTCAAATTAAAAAAGGAAAACAAAAGATAGTATGTTATCACTGAACGCCAGTTCTGTGTGGCATAAGCTGACACCTGAACCCCTAAATGACCATGACAGGATGTGAGAGGAAACTGCAGAACTGACATACTGAAACAGCAGGAGAAAAAGGATGCATTTGAGAGGTTGGAAAAACAGGCTCCGTCATTTAGCAGCTTGTATTTGAAAGGAGGAAAAAAACTCATCATTTACAACAACCAAGTGTCTAACATTAGCAGCTGAGAGAGGCATTAAACGTTGTGCTACTGAAATATTTATAAAGGCATCTGGTTAACAGTAGTCACACAAGAGTTACTTATAAAAGATGTTGTAAGCTTTTTTTATTAAAATGTTTCAAATGCCTCTAGCTGAAAGTTTCAGCATTTAAGAAAAAACCCACACATGCCTGCATTTTATATCCTCCCTATCTTCCACTAGGAAAAAATGAGTAAGGCTGAGGGACACAGTCATTTTTTTCCCCCAATACTTCAAAAGCCAGTACATAGAATAAATCCATAACCTTCTGATTTGTTGCTCTTTGTTTCTGGAGTTGCTCACAATCCATAACTCCATCCCGTCCTCCAGTCAGCTGAAGTGATGAAGAAAGAGTTTTATTCAGTCACAGACTTGGAGGTATTAGTTAAGACAGATCTGTAACCTCTGAGTCTTCTCCCAACTGGCAAGCAAGGTGGTATTGTCAACAGCAACAAACAACAGAAAGAGAAACATGGCTGAGAATGGCCTGGATGTTGTTTAAATTGTTGGCAAAAGATTCAGGAGTCATCAGGAAAACCAGATTCTAGGGCAGGATTCAATGCTGCCTTCATACTTCAGTGAGCTGTAAAACTTTGGCAATCAATCACACAAAAGGGGCCAAATTTCAAATCCAGCTAGGATGCATAAACAGAACTGCTTCCAGTCTACCAGCCATATTAATTGACATGAAGGTAGAAAGTAAAAATCTGGAAGTGGGGAAGGAAGGAAAAAGCATAACAGACTAAGCCAGGAACATGCAAAGATAATAGGGTCATGGTCAGCCAGGGAAAGTGTTGAGAGTGAAGCAACACTTGAAAAATGCAGTACATCTAGTCAGAAGAAAGCTACAAAAGGCTTTCAGCCTGTTTCAAATCTTTCTCCTAAGTGACTTCAGCCCTTTTTTTCCTCTCTTTCTCTCATGTTCATGCATGAAGTGCATTTTTCTTCTTCTGCCAGATCATTAATTTTAATGATAGACTCAACCCAACAATGTTTGCTGCAATACCCCAGTGCATGCCATCACTCAGCCAGTTTCCAACTCATGCATCAGTGTTTGCTCCCCAAACCTATGCAAGTACAGTTTTCAAGTAAGACCAGGAGTCTTTGTATGAAGCAATTTCCAATAATCTGTTACATTAAGTGCATTTTCTTAATCTACAGCCCTAAGTCTAGGATGACTTATACTGAAAGAAAGTATTGCTGACTGTTTCTGACCTGTTCTTTCTCACCTACTGTGTAGTAAACTTTAACTCTCTTTAGAGTATTTTACATCTCCCAACTAATAACCTAAGTTTTGAATGTCATTAAACCCAAATATGTTTTCAGAAATAAGAAATTAATGAGGAGTAAACCCTCTTCTTAAAACACTTTCTTTACCCACCAGCTCTTCAATCGTGCTCCTCCCTACTGCTTTACACTAGGGCAAAGGGCCCCTCAAGCAAAGCCTCCTATACAGCTGGGAAAGGCTAGGCCAAGATAGCTGTCAGCTGCTAAAACCAACCTTGCCTGTAAGCTCCCGGCCGCCTGCAGCTCCCTTCGTGCCCTCAGCTCTCACCTCAGGGATGGCCACGGGAGAAGGCGAACGAGCCACAGCTGCCTCCACAAACACTAACGGAAAACCCGAAGCGGCCCAACAGCCATTCCCACTCCTTGCCGGAGCACCACGGCCAGCACAACAGCGGCACAACCTGGCCGGGAGCACCCTAAAGCGCCTGCCAGAAAGGAAGACGCCTCAGGCTCTCTGTGGAGGGAAGCAGCCCACCCCACCACCACACCACAGCGCAAACCCCGGGCCGGCGTCGAACCGGCCGGCAGTTCCCTAGAGAGAGCGCACCACGCGCTCCGCGTCGCCACGTGACCACGGACTCGTTTACCCGCTAGCCGCCTGAGAGACGCCATCCCC